GTTAAGGTCTCGAATGCCATCAAGAAGACTTATCTGAGCAAGAAAATAAACGTCTATAGATGCTATTAGTTTATCAGCCACTTTTGGCACTTTGTCAAATTCAGTGGAGGATAATTTCCAGATTGTTGTTTTCGTATGCAGTCATGTGGTTGAGTATAACGACAGCAAAGTTGAGATTATCTAATGTATTGTGCATCGGAGCATGCGAACTTATGTTTAGAAAGCCCTCATATCCGCGATTTGCAGGAGCAGAAGATTAACTTTGCTAGTGAAAAACTGACTGATAAGGGGAAACGGAGCCAAACGGAGACTTCCCAAAAGTGAGAACAAAGCGATTAGCTGAAATTGATTTTGTTTACATCAAGTTTTACGGCAGGATACACGTTGACACATGACAACAAGGGTTCCAGACCTAAAAACGCAGCTAACGCAGTATTGTTCAGCTCCTGATGTCATCCTGCGAAGAAACCGTGTTGTAATGAATATATCGTGTACTTATGCAAGCGTTAGCAGTATGCCTATAGTAAGTTTCAACTCAGTTTAGGCGGAAATTGGACTGCCGGAAGTCCTCTTCGAAACGTTTCGCGTTTTGCAGTCTGCGTCTTTTCATTCTAATTTATCTCGCTGAGCCAGTGGCGGTGGTCCACTTGGGATGTTTCGCCTACTCCGGGTTGAAAAAGACTGTAGACAGTGTACAAGGGCGCACGCTGTGATTATATTGTCACTCGATTTCTTTGAGGCACAATATACGGAGCAGCTCATACCACTGCATTGGTGCAGAGCTGGCATGCAGCGTTGCAATTAGCGGTGAATCTTGCTAAGCTAAGTTTTCCGCGCAAGGAGTCCGAGTGCGTGCAGTTTGCCCCAAACCTAAAAAAATCTCTCACAAAACCTTGTCACTGTATAGGAATGCACAATACATATTGCTCTTCGTAGCAGTCTCAGAACGGTATTCATGTAAATCACCCCTAAGAAATGCAAAACGGCGCGTAAATCAAATCCCAGTTTGGTGCTGCTGATGCTCAAAGTGCTTTTGATTGATTGTGAGAACAAACATGATAAAAAAAAGTCGAACTGGGTGGATGAAAAGATTTCGATAAAATCTCTGTATATAAGAATTTATACATACTTACCGCAAACACTTAATGTCACCATGCAAACTTAGTGTTGCCTTAAAGGCAGCGTTCGGGCAAAAAGTCGATTTTGAGATTTTGTGCTTACCCGGGCCTATTCGCTATGCTGAATCCGAAAATCAATCACCACTAGAAAGCGCAAAACGGCGAAAAAGGGGTCTAACGCAGGAGGAAAATCAGCAGAGGGCGGAGCGTCCGCCAGGGTGGATTCTCGCTCCCAGCTTCCGGAGCAATCTTCGATCTCAAATCACGCGTTTGCACTTGGCCGGTAGCGATGTTAGGGCGACTAAAGGAACCGAGAAGATTGCTCCGGAAGCTGGGAGCGAAAATCCCCCTGGCGGGCGCTCCGCCCCCTGCTGATTTTCCTCCTGCGTTAGACCCCTTTTTCGCCGTTTTCGCGCTCTCTAGTGGTGATTTTCGGATTCAGCATAGCGAATAGGCCCGGGTAAGCACAAAATCTCAAAATCGACTTTTTGCCCGGACGCTGCCTTTAAGGTAGTGGCTGGGCAAAATGAAGCTATGTCAGATTTTGGTGATATCAGGTAGTAATACAAGTGCACCGTACATCCAGCATTATTCTCCAAATGCGTGAAACAACCGGCAAAAGGAGTCCAACCCCTCTCAATCTCCTTGGATGTCTACGATTTGAAGGGTGGGATGGGGCTACGGTGTACTTGAGGGAGGGGGGAGAGGGGAGGACTACTACCAAGCACCATAAAAATTCAACAGGGGTCCATTTTGCAAAGCCGTTGTCTTTAGGGTGCATTCATACTGATCCGGAAGTTCGTGAACAGTTTTAACACAGCGCTCGAACTAAGCGCTTGCAGGAACTGTTCGCGGATTTTGGGATCAGTATGAACACAGCCTTAGGATTCTAACAAGTGTGTGAATGAGATGAACACGTTGAATACATTCAGAAGTAAACCGTAGCAAGTCATAAGATTCTCCTCGTAGAAATTTTGGATATTTATCCTAAGAGCTATGGGAATGCATTAAAAAAAGAAATTGAAGGTGAGGACGCTCCAACTTAGCTGCTCTCGCTTCTTGTGCGCAAGAAGAGTTGGTCAGTCTCTATGTCCACTATTGGTGCTGCGCATTTTGTTACTGTAAAGTAGCGCATTCATGATACTATTATATTTTACACGGAAATAGCAATAGGTTAGGGTAGCAAAATATGAGTGATGTACAGTTTAGGTTTAGTGTTGCTGTTGTCAAATCGTAAAGTGGAAGCAACGTCCTGCCAAGGATATTTATCTCATTGAGGATTTCTAATCGCCACGAAGGTTCCAGGTGATAGGACTTCTAAGTTGTGTCGTTCTCCCACTCAAGAAATAGTTACAAGAAGCGAAATAATGTGCAGAAACGAAAACTCTCGTAAGATAACCACAGAAATGCGATCAAAAATGTAGGTTAACCTCAACTGAACAGCCAAGGTAAAATCAGAAAGCTAACTGTTGTGCATGCAAGGGAATTTTCATGAGCTATACCTACAAATTCGACCTAAATAGATAATTAAGTCTGTTAATGACGGTGAGCCTAGGTCCAATAAGCAGAATTTACATTATCACATTTTCCGTAAGTCACAGCTGCATGGCAAAGCAGTGTCAAACAAAGTGCATCTGATCAACACTTAAGCACTTAGAAGAATTGCACTGTTTTCAACGAAATGCTTCACTCTATCAGACGCGCTACCACTAAAACAAATGATGTAAATGTGTCAGGTACTGTAGAAGTCGTATAGTGCTTATCGCACATTTGCTGAAAGTGCTTCATCTTAGTGTACCCGCCCACCTTCTTCACATCTTCACCCTTCTAAACAGTCTGTCGCAGTTGAATTGCCAAGACTGCTGTTCTGCAATCTGGTTTTTCCTTCATTTTTTCATCCATGCAGTTTTGCATGCTCCATTTGGATGTTACACAAACGTGTACTACTTATCGATGTGCTGGGGTAATTCAAATGAAACCGAAAACATACTGATAATGGGTAAAACCGTTTTGGGGAAGCATTTCATGATCATTCTGTCACCTCTACTTCATTGTTTACGCCAAATCTTAGATGTGCTGAATAGCTCAAACTGAGTGTTTCATTCCCACTATCACGTGTGTTCATCGAAAACTTCGCTCATTTTACACTCACCGTTATTCATTTATGTTAGTTCGAAAAGATCCGCATATCGTACAAAGAAACGAAACGTACAGATAGCTAACTTCATTGGAAAAAAATGTTCCCCCTCCATGTCGTCTCACAAATCTCCTTTTCTTTTTCGAGGCTTTTTGAAAAAAATTGTTGGGGTGACTCAAATAAGACGTTAAATGCATTTGAAAAGCTGATTAGGGATTGCTTTGCATTTGGCAGATGTTTATCTCCGGCTTGGATGGTAGAAGGGCTTGCAACACTATGCAATCGGTGAGAAGTTTACAGCGCTTTTACGTTCCTCATGAATTTTGAAGATATTGCATACTTGAAGTAGTGACCTTGGCACCTTATGCACAGTTGCTGTTGTTCCACCAAAACTTGAGTTAAATTCTCTTACCTGCATTTGGAAAAGTTGCATTGTTGATAGGAAAGTTTCTATCGATCAAATTCCAAGAAAAAACACTCCCTGGGCAAAGGACTTTACGTAAATATAGCCAGCTTTTTTCCGCTATGTGTGATCGCCCTGCACATGACTCATGTCCAATTGCGCAATTTCCACAAACACGTAAGTTGACAAAGAGGCCGCATGCGACAGCGGTGTCTGTAACGCGGCCAGACTTACCGCATGAGCCGACTTGTTCGCATGTAGAGCATAATTTCAGCTATAGTTCATGAGGGGACTGAGACAACAACTTAGTTGTAGAATGGTTTTGAAGTTGCGAACAAAGAGTTACAACTAAACAGTACATATCGCTATACATTGAGCTCTGTCATCGTTCCTCTGCCACAAACACTTGTGACTCAAATTGGCCCAATTAATAGTGGCTGGATAAGCAATCATTTCAGAATTGTAAATTCTTCTCATCCAATCCATTAGCATTCTTCTCAATGTATCGGTGCAGTTGAAGGTGTAATTAAAGAGCATGAGATTCAGCACACCAACCTTAAGAAACTCATAGTTACTTGTTTGCGAAAGACAGGATCACCTCATAAAAGTAAAGATGCCCATCTACATTTTGTTTAGATGGGTTTAAATAAAATACCTGATAATTTAGAACTGGAAGAAGGGTGCAATAAATAAGATGAGACGGTACAGCCTAACAAAAAAATTTTCACAATTTTTCGATAACTCGACTGAAACTCCAATCATGCATTTTGTTGGCTACGATAGAACACATATACCATATCGTGTATTTTTTAGAGGTTAGAGAGCGCTCAATTGTGTCCCGAAAAGCAAGAGGGCAGCAAACTGCACCTCTTCCTCTTCCATTTGAGTAGTAAATCAACAAAGTAAGGTAAACACTTGTTAATTACATAAACGCAAAGCGCTTGCGGTCTCCTAGTCACGGAAATGTGGATATATTCCTAATATGGATAGTTTAGAGCAACATCCTTCTAGTTGTCTCTGTTAAAGATGTAAGCCATCAGACCTTAGCAACTGAACACGTCAGCATGGAGGATCTACAAGGAAAATCAGAGCGCAGTGCAAGGAACTCGACAACGTTTCCATTTTTAACATAAATGCCTCGAATCTTCCTAGGACTTCTTTCGTACTATAGGACAATTTTTTACTAGGGCCTAAATCAGCGATAACTTCACTCAAAAAACACCATTCCTATGATGAAAAAATGTGATGTATTGGAATTGTGATAAGCAGTAGACCGTTAACTACTATAAAATCTAGTGACACTTTTTTAAGAAAAGAATTTCTAATGATAACATCCTTTTCAGCCTTCAATGCCAATGTTGGAAAGACCACCGCCCAAACGAAAACAGGCTATGAGCGAAATCTGTCCCGAGGTGTGCTTTGATATCAATTGTCTTCGTGAGTTGAACAAATGCTGAGTAGAGCTGAATTCCGCGCTTTGAAGAGGCTGAACCAAAATTGAGTAGAAGTCCGTAAAATAACTGCTTTTGTGCGGTCCTTGACAATCGTTGAAAATGAGTTTTTAGTCTACAGTTTTTTCTTTTTTTTTAAACAATAGCTAGAGCATTATCCGAAAACGCAGGAAGATATCCTAATGTGAGGTGCTTGCTGGGGAGAAAAGGAGCTCAGTGCTAAATGCATGTGCCTAATGCTGTTATGACAGTAGAATGTGAAAATTCTCGGCGAAATCAACGAATTCGCCGACTTTGCCGCCTTCGCCGAAAGTCACATTCCAAAGTCATAACTATAGTCTACTGGTCTGCTCAAGCTCTGTAGTAGGTACATGCATTTCACATTTGAAAAACCATAAATGATATGATCAGATTTTGAAGACACTATTACCCTAAGAACGGCGCTGTCCATGCTTTCTAGGGAAGAAGGATGCGATTAATACAGACTTAAGGCATTTGCATCTGCAATTTTTACCTGTGGTTTGCCAAGATTTCAAATAACCATTCTGTGAATGCTACTACTATTCTAGAGGTTGCGACTACTTCTGAGATAATATGAATAATTTTCCTCTTGGCTCTAAAAATTAGCATCTCGAAACATCAGGATGGTGTTTTTCGATAGATGTATCAACGTGAGTGTTCTGTCATGAAAGGTATCAAAAAATGTGAAAAATATTAAGTGTGATTAGGAAAAGTGTGCCTTTTCTATGAGGAGCATTTTAAAGGCATATTAAGAAGATATTCTTTGTCTCAATAACAAACCGACTCTGCAAAGGATCCACTGCGGCAGCCCGCATGGATGCTGCGCCGTCTGCAAGGTATCCCTGAAAATTTCCCCACGCTTGCTGGCTTTGAATAGCTATGGGAGATTGTCTTCAAAATGATTAGCAGAATGCGAACGAGGCAAGCGAGCGATGGAGGATTCGACCCACGTGCCGGCAATACTATCAGATGGATACGAGTTACGGTTTGATCAAACTCACAAAGATTGTTTAGATTGGCCACTTTGGCTTAACCATTTCCTTGTCAGCGATGTGATGTGCACAGCGCACTTACGGGTTAGGCTAAACCGTAGTGTAGGCGTTACGCTGCGCACTCTGGGGCAATCTTACGTGCGTTCTCACGCTTTTTTCGCGTAACTAGCACGCTGCCAATTCCTACGCCTGCACATTGATATTGCTGGATCCTATTTTTTCGAGGCCACTACAGAACTTTTCATATCACTGTGCCGGTACCGGCGGCGTACTTAGCCTACCCAACACTTAGGCTAGACAGATTACGCCACGTACGCTGCAGTCTAGCCCAACCCCTCTTCAAAAAATTGTTTCGTCTTCTTTCACTCAAAAGGCATCTTTTTAACAAACGGTCGTCCATCCGCGAACTGGAAGTTTTCGCTGAACAATGAGCAAGTCAAATTGTGACGGTGTATGCCGGTTCGGCGGCCTTTATACCAAAATTGCACTCCTTTCAGAAAATATGGCCAATTTAAGATTATCTTTGTGCTTCTCTCAGGGTGGCTCTGGGCAACGCGCCTAACAGCCGCTTTAGTTTATGACAGTCTTGTGAATTTTTCAAACCAAAACAGACTTATCCATCACTTAATCCGTTTTGAAAGGAAACGTAACTGTGGCGTTTTCGCCATATGTCGGAGTGGAGGAAGCGTATGAGTATGGTTTGCTTGTGCAAAAAATATCCTATCAGTATTACCGCTGCCACCGTTGTTACGAAAGTTACCAGTGTTACCATGTCCAGACGAAATAATCAGCCGTCAAATCTCAAGTTTGCAGATTCCATTCAACTCATTTTGTTCTCATTTTGAAAAGGGTGAGGTCTCTTTTTGTGAGCTAATTACCAATTATAACAGCTAACTTTTTTGGAACAAGAACATTTCGAAATATCCTCTTATTTCTGTCAAAGCACTTAAGCCTAGGGAACAACCACATTGAACGTGAACCCAAACGCGGAGGTCCACAATGAAAGCGTTCAAAAAGGAATTGAGTAAAGCCAAGTTTTCATTGAGTGGAAAAGACAGTTTGCGAACATCCGCTTTCACCGGTCTGCTAGGCGCACGAAGGCGCACGAAGGCGTGTGCGAGTGTGTGTATGTCGAGATAAACGAGACGAGATGAAACGCGCCTTTGTGCGCCTTTGTGCGCCTTCGTGGGCGGTCTGAACGATCCCTAAAGGGGAGAGCCCGAAGTCGACAGCTTACCACATTAGATAAATACCAGTCTGGACATCAAACGCTGTTAGGGACTGTCTTTGTTATCTGTCAAGCGCCTCTAGACGCCGATTTACGAGCGTTTTCTGCTTCAAAAACTTGAGCGCGCAACAGAAACAAATTCATCTAAAAATTGCGCAAATGGCTTGTGTTGAAATCAAAGCACTCTATGCATGGAAGACTTTTGCCTAACATACTCGTACTCAACACTTCTTTACTTAAGCGCTGGAAAAGCCACAACCATCAATTTTATCCCAAATTTCGCTATCATTTTTCGAACCAAAACACCCCTAACAGCATCCAGTGGAGCTTGGCAAAAACAAAGACATTTTCGGAATCAATTTGACGCTCTTCAAAGGTTCATATTTTATTTGGAAAGCGATTTCCACCTTGGGTTTTTTCCTAGTAAGCTGAACATACGCACATGTTTGATAGAGAAAATTAAGCATTTGTTAGTGATTCACACACTACAGTGGCAGGAGCCTCGCTTGTAAACGCAACAACAAAACTCCTGAAAACTAGACACAGAATGACTGTAGATCTTAACTAAGCCACTATAGCTTTTCTGCGTGTGAACTGCTCCTGCGCAAAAAACACAGTAAAAGGGGCTCTGTTAGATGACGCTACTTTGTTCCTTATTTTCTTGCACTTACATCATTGTGTCTGTAATGTGGTGCTACGGAATACAACAAAAGTTTCGGGGACAGCAGTAACTAATGATTCATAAAGAATTGTCAAATTCAAAGCGCCGTATTCAGATTTTTTTGTTTTCTGGTTTTTCCTGACTAGCCAAGGAGATATGAATGAAACTTCACCGTAAAACTCAATTTTTCTTCAAATTTCAGAGAGCATAATGATGATTTTAGGTTCATGAAAGGTTACTGGATTCATTCATATCACGCTAAAACTCCAGCGATCTAATATTTGCATGTATACAGGTGACGCGTATACTGTGAAGTTATACAGAAAGGGGTAAAGCATATTTGTTAATGAACAACTCCGTACATAGACAATCTCTCAGCACAGTAGATATATTGTGGTTTGTATAGCACCTTGTATTCTTAAGCATGGGTTTGCTTTGTGCTTCACATTCTGCAAATTTCTAGAAAAACGAAGAGCATTTATTCGATATTGTTTATTGAAATGAGGTGTTATCAAAAATTAAGACTATGCACCAAGATGAAGCGATAACTTCATTGTTAAGCAGCTTTATTTCCCGACACCCCAGTAATGTGCACTCAAAAAACGGTAATTTTCCTTTATCATCTTATGGCGATAAAAATTTTCGTTAAGGCCAAACGTTCTTGCTGTATGTTTGTCATGAAGCAAGAGTTCAACAATCTTTTGTCGAAGAAGAGGGAGTTTCTTTCTCGGCAGCGAACGTCATCATTGCTCATCAATCCTTTAAAAACCGCGGAAAACGCTTTGATACCTGAGTTAGTATCATTGTGAAGGAAAAGCTAGAGTTAAAGAAAGTGCACACAATATTCTCGCACTCATAGATTTTCCAACTTCTATCGACGCTTATCAAATGCTCCAATGGCTCCTGAAGAGCATACGGCACAGCTATCACTCATTGAGCAAGTCATTCAGGAGTAAGGAAACGACACATAATGGTGCGAAAAATTTGATAAGAATGGTCATTTGTTACAGATCAATAATCATTGAATGGCCCCGATGCGTAGAAGGACTTGCCTCGTCAAGTGAATCAGTGGAGATTGATATGGCACCACTGATCCATCGCGCTAGAAGCGTGATAAAGTGTAGAACGAGTCATCCAACAATGAAGATAAAGTAGGTTACGTAGTTGCTGGAGGTCTTAAAACACGGAGTGCGTTTATGATCCTTCATTAATCGAGAACATCATATTGTATAGTCGCATCTGTAGCAAAACAAAGGGTAAGAATGATCACAAAATGCGGAACATTTGAAAAGAAAAATGCGGAAAAATAACGAAAGCTTCATTTCAGGATAATGTGCATAAACTTACCTCGCTAATATTCAGAGTGTGTGCCATTAGCCAAGACATTGACGGCCCTCTACTACCGCAACCAAAGACTGTCGAAGCTTTTTTCCGTGCATCGCTTGTGAAACTTTCCCATGATGGCAGTGAACCAAGGTGTGAACTACTTCCGATGGTATTACTTATGATCTGCATGTATCTTTGTGGTAATCAGAAAAGCAATTTAATATTATATTAGGTTGGCACATAAGTTTTGCAACTTTTCCCGTAACTTTCTTCCTACTTTATGTAGCAATCTCATTTTGTGGCATCATGTAGATTGTGATGTAAGCTGAAAGTCTGCGCAAACCGTTTGATTTTTGATGACCTAGTACAAAAAATCTAAGCATTTTTTGAAAACTGCTGAAAATCGAGGTTTCACGATTTTTTGGCAAACATGAAGCCTCACGAAACCTGATTCAAACATAAGAAAAAGCAATTACAGGCAGCATGTAGCTGGAAGTTGGCACATTGAAATCAGTGAAAAAGAAATAAAATTTAAACGCAAATTAAGATGGGGCGCCTTTGAGAAGTTGAACAAGTCAAATGCGTCAAGTTTTGAAGGCAATTTGTCAATAACTAAGCTGCGAAAAGTCAGAATTCGCTATAACTTTGCACTATAGGGTAATCCTACGCGGTAAACACGAATATCATAATCATCTGTCGCTAAAATGAAATTCATCTTTTGATCTTACGAACGGGGCCTTTTCATACGCAACGGATCTCATTTTTGTGATCAGCATGTCAAATAAGCCCTGTTGGCCAAGTTTCAGCAATGGATGCATTCTAAAATTTTTCCCATAGTACCGTAAACCTACCGTAATCCTCACATAAGGTGGTATAATTCGGCAAAAATGTGTGCATTAGAAGCTTACATCATATTCCTTATACTGCCAAAAAATGAATGCGCTACGTTCAAATAGACAAAAGTTATATAAAAAGTTGCATTACTTATGTGCCAACCTAATAATTATGAGCAAAAGTTACAGTGGGCTTCCGATGTTGTTTGTAGCCATGTTAGAGAGGCAAAAAACGTCAGTGTTCTTTACGTAATCACTAGAACAAAGTTGTGGTCTAGAGTATCGTTGTAGAAAATGCAGTAAATTTTGTCTGTGAAAAAGCGCTTACGGATTTTTTGTGTTTTGCGAAATTAAAGTCTGCCACAGTAATGTCTGAATTACTGCTATGTGAGGAATTTCACAGATTTTTTGGCTAACTAGTGGCCTTCCGAAATTACTCGGCACCACAAAGTCCAAAATAGAAACAACATTTGCAAACCACATCTTGGTGGCCAACTTATCAAAAGCTACCCTTGGGTATTCGTCATCAAACACCCTTCGCTATTATTGGGAAGCAAAATGGTAAATGGGTTCGCGATTTGGAAGGATTTGTGTTTGTTGTTTCAAATTACGCCAAAACATTCGCTTTAAAATAGCGTGACGTAGTTTTGCTAGACATCGCTCGATTAGTATTTTGCTACGGCGTCTCAAAGCACTTGTCAAACCTCCAGCTGCTGGAAAAACTGCTACGAATGCTCAAGATGAGCCAAACTGAACGTCGGGCCCAGAAGTTTGTGCCCACTGTCTAATTGAATAACTCTCTTGTTCTAAGGTCTTTAGCCACCTACAGACATTATCTTGTACTGGCTTTAAGTTAGATTTACATTACAGAACAAATTACCGGTTACCTTCCATTACTATAAGTTACGTCGGACTTCAAGCATTTTGCACCATTGAGAATTAGCCGCATCAAATTTCAAGTGTGTAGCAGCTCTTTACGCAAGCTGAGTTTACTACTTAACCTTTTGAAAGTCTTTGGAGCTTCCTAGACAAAACCTCATTTCAAGAAAAGAAAATATAATTATTACGATAAACCTGGCATAATTTATGACGAAGTTCTACAGTGGAGACTACTTTCATATATAAAACCACAGACTAGAATAGTGTAGTGTACGTGTTTTCTGATTGCATGTTTTTATTCTGGAGCTAAATTTGCCGATGTTCCTATCTTAATATTACAATAAGAAGGAACGGTCGGTAAACTGAGCTCTACAAGATGATACCCATAGGTCTTTCAAAGGCTTTGAAGCAAGGAGTTAGTACGTTGAATATTACAGTGAAATGGTGACGACGCTTTAGAACACATGTAAGAATTAGGATAAGTAGATAGGAGTAAATGAAATATAATAGCTTTGCAAAGATGCTTTTTTCGTCCTATAACACCCAGGCAAGTAGCAGGCCGCATGATTTTAACCCAGCGAGAGGGTACTCCTGCGACGAAGACTTCCGATCAAAATGGCGCGACCGTTAGCGATGGGAAGTTGATTGCCAGTCAAGTAAGAAATTGACGTAAATTCTGTATGCACATGATCTCATCCAATTTGTACTGTGCTTTAGGCTGCACCTGACACCCATGCGTATGTGCTCCTTGAAAGAATGGGAGAGAGAAATGCAAGGACCACACCTCTCAAGTTTGACAATAACGTGCTGTGCGCCACTTTTCCGGAGATGGCAAGTGTTTTCATACATAATGTATTAGATCGTTCCGAAAGTTCTTTCCGTTTTTCAGCTTAACATAAAAATACGTGAAACAAAGAGAGAGAATCGTTTCAGGTACTACGCGACCCAGGATTTCTTACTCTTTTAAATGGGCAGGGGAACGAAGGCCGCCAGTTTGAACCGCCTCCGCGGACTGCTGGTCCTCCAACTATGGCAGTTTTTCACAATATTCATTTTCAACTCCTGAAGCTTTGATAGCAGTCAGATAGAGTAAATAAATTGTGCAGTGCAATGCAATTTTTTGGTAGTTTCAACTGGCTTCTCAATGTTTTTGAGATAGCTTTTCCAGAAGTCTTCAATTTGAGGTCACAAAATTCACAAACGCTCCGGACATTAACAAATCTTCAGAATTTTTCAAAAATTGATTATGATTGTCTACTATTTTTACAAAGTAACGAAGCGTTTACCGCTTCGAAATCTGAGATTTCGCATTTTAAGTGTGTACGCTTAGGCGGGTTCAAAATCAAGAATTACGATTATTTTATCGCCAACTATCCAAGAAATTGGGAAGAAACACTCCTTAAAAAGAGAAGAAAAAGCTGCACCGAATGACACCTTAGTGTGCGCGTTTTATGTTCCACCGCTCTTGGCACACCGAAAGTGGAATTTGATAGCTTCAGAAAAATAATTCTAAAAATTTTCTAAGGCTACTATAGATGTCGAAATTTGCATTACATTGCACTTTGTTTACTCCATCTGACTGCTATCAAAGCTATTCCAAAGTCAAAAGAAGATTGTGAAAAATTGGAAGATTTGGACATGGTAACCATGGGTCCGAAATTTCGGCGATTATCTCAGTGACCATGAAAGTGACCAGCACATGAGCACGACGGTTAAAAAGAGGAAGAAAAGCTGCGTCGGACAGTGTCTGAAACGTTTGCCTATCTTTGTTCTATGAGTTTCTATGATAGGTTGAAAAAACGGAAAGAACTTCGGAACGACCTAATATATCAAATTCGAGCAAGAAACGCAAATCAGATTGTTAGGCAAACACGAGACTCAATGACATTTTACAGGGAGTGGCACTGAATTCAATGGTAGATAGACGGCAGCTTGCTACACGATATGCGGTTCAAGTGGAGGTAGCAGTAAATGTTGACAACAAGCTTATCGTTAACCATGTAGGTCGTTTATGTGCTTGAACACTCCTTGTCCCCGCTACCTATTGCAACTACCATGAGCAAAGCCAAAAAAATGTTTAGCCCATAATTTTTTTATGAAAGGGCACTTATGGAATGCTTCGATATGTAATGTTGACAAAGCATTCGCACATTGTTATCATAACTTTTTGTGTTTTTTATCAGCACAGCTTTCATCAGTGACTGAAAGTGCACTGTTACGGAATCGTACGTATTGCGAGGGTAATAAGAACTTGTTAACGCTAGGGAAACCACCAATCTCAAGTCCAATTTCATTCATTGAACCTCTATAGGTACTTCTTTCGCATCCGTTTCTTATCGCCATCACCAATGATCAAACGGAACCTCTTCTGTATTCTATATTTTGGAGTCGAATGCTTACAAATGAGCACACTGTAAGTTTATTAGATTAAGAAAAGTCAATCCACGTTACTACATGAACATTGGATAGGAAACATCAGAAATGTTTCGCGATTGCTCGACTATTCCCTGGGCTACCTTGCAAGAAGGTGTTAAACAATACGTCAAGGGACAAATAGTGCAAGCTCGCAGTCTCCGCTATCACGAGTTGTGCCATTTGCAAAGCATGATGCTCTTGCCTCGGTTAGTAGATAGTTATCAAGTATAATGCATATTTTCTATTAGGTTGGCACATAAGTAATGCAACTTTTTATATAACTTTTGTGCATTTGAACGTAGCGCATTCATTTTTTGGCAATATAAGAAATATGATGTAAGCTTCTGATGCACACATTTTTTGCCGAATTTTACCATCTTATGTGAGGATTACGGTAGGTTTACGGTACTATGGGAAAATTTTTAGAATGCATCAGATTTTGCTGAAACTTGGCGTGTAGGGCTTATTTGACATGCTGATCACAAAAATGAGATCCGTTGCGCATGAAAAGGCTTCGTTCGTGAGATCAAAAGATGAATGTCATTTTAGCAACAAATGAATATGATATTCGTGTTTACCGCATAGGATTACCCTATAGTGCAAAGTTATAGCGAACTCTGACTTTTCGCAGCTTAGTTATTGACAAATTGCCTTCAAAACTTGACGCATTTGACTTGTTCAACTTCTCAAAGGCGCTCCACCTTAATTTGTGTTTAAATTTCATTTCTTTTTCACTGATTCCAATGTGCCAACTTCCAGCTACATGCTGCCTATGACTGTTTTCGCATATGTTTGAATCAAGTTTCGTAGGGCTTCATGTTTGCCAAAAAATCGTGAAACCTCGATTTTCAGCAGTTTTCAAAAAATGCTTATATTTTTTGTACTTTATCAAAAATCAAAAGGTCTGCGCAGGCTTGCAGCTTATATCACGATCTACATGATGTCACAAAATGAGATTGCTGCATAAAATAGGAAAAAAGTTACGGGAAAAGTTGCAAAACTTGTGTGCCAACCTAATACATGAAGGCAAATTTTTACAGCTTGGTAAGGTGCAAAACGAACGAGGAATGCGAGTCATTGGAGCTAGAGCTATACGGTGATTCAAAATGCGCTGACGGAAGCGAAAAACGTATTCAAATCCGCGATCGTTTGCTTGCCGAATTAGTGCTTCCGACAACACCTATAGAACGACGAGAGTTTATGATGGTGAGCACCTTTAGAGCATTTCACAGACGACTGTGTATGTGAATTTGAGTGGACATCACGTCTCACAAATAAAGGAGAGCTACTCAGATTACAATAGGAGTTTTTTTCTTTTAAACCTTCTGTCACTGGAACACAACACGAACGGCATACAATAGTCGCTACTGCTTATTACGGATCATTACCAACTTTGACAATTTTTTGACATCAAGGTTTGTCCTAGATAGAAAATCTTAATGGGCAATAGGGCAATCACTTAGGCTTTCTTGTTCGTTCTCTAAATTTTATTTCATCCCTGTACTTCCAAGCGCTTTCACTGCGGCAAAGCTGACTAATGGCTGACTAATGCCAAATATTTGCAGAACATCATTGCACTCGAGAATTAGATTCTTGAAATTTAAAACTTGCAGATGACTGAAACAAAATGCGCAACTGCATTAGCTTGTCGCAAGAGTTTTGTCCAATTTTCGTTAACTTGCTTTTAAAGCACCGAAAATCACTGAAGTTTCATCCCTTATTCAAATCATCAATAAACGCCTTTCTTGCCTTTCTGACACATACTGAAGATAAAATCTAACTGTAGGCCTAAGGTCGAGATACGCCCTTACCTAAGAAATATGTTCTTGCAAAAAAATCTTCAAATTCACCTTGCAAGTCAGACCATTGATCCGTGCATTGATCAATGAAAGTGTAACAGGCTAGCATATGCACAAACTCGCTTTCGTGTAAAAATAGTTGTGCAAATTCTACAAGCACTGACATTCAATGTCAGTGCTTGTAGAATCAAGATTTTGAAAGGGGTCATGATGTTTTGAAGGTTGCAAATCGGACCGAATCATAGGCTGCGGATTGGCAGTTCCTCGATTGGAGATTTTTTGCTTACCTGGGGTTATTCGATAAGCTGATTCCAAAAATCTACTTGTAGAAATTGTGAAAATAATGAAAAAAGCTTTTTCTTCATTTTGAACTGGGACAAATGAAACAGTTTCCGCCATGGTTGGTGACGAAGAGTGGTTGCGGGACCCTTACCGTTCATCATTGCGGCATGCTGCCTCCGATGTTATGAGGGAAATCGCAAGCTCATCGACGCGTGTGAGATTGGCTTGTGTACGGGTTTGATGGCAACTTTAGGGCAGGATGAGGGTGCTGAGCGACGGACTTGGTCTCTCTTTACGTGTGGGAGGTAAGCAGTTCACCACATCCAAATCTCAAAATGTTTAGTTAAGCGAGCCACTATCTTTATGCAACTACCTGATACCATTTAGTTGGCGCGAAAGCTTTCGGTGTTGCATTTCGACAAAGTTTATTTTTTCTCCAAAGTAAGCCCTGCTTGGGGCTGCAGCACACAAATCAATCTCTAAAGTGGTATATGCAAGCGTTATCAGTGTTTTCCCTAGAAATTCAAGCAAAAATCCTAAAGCATAGGATTTCGGCCTAACCCAGATCTCCTCATCTGTAAATGTACGTACTTACATGCACAGTCTGCGTGGAATTTAGAGTTTGACTACCAAGAAAACGAGATTCAAAAGTGAGAGACTTTGCTCTGATTAATCCTAGGCTCATTAACTTGCTTGCATGTTAGCTACAGGAGGAAGAAAGTACAGCTGCAAATTCTCGCACTCGTACATGCATTGATTTCAAGAATAGCAGATTTAGTCGGAAAATGTCCGAGAACTTTCGAGACATCTAACACTACCTAAAAATGCTTCTCTAAGCACGAAACACCGCTTGAAGTTCCCGCAATCTTTTCTGGAAAATTAGCCAAAATATCTCTTCAGCAGACATGAAAAGTCCTAACGATAAGGATATACTACAGGGTGTCCCAAGAAAATGTGCACACTGTTTGATCGTTAATAACTCTCTTTCATATCTTTTACCGAGCTTGAGGTACCATTCTGTAGAGTGAGGATCAGCTTAGATTTACAGTATGGAGCGAATCACCAATCATTCTTCATTACTGTAGGACTACGGTATAAACTCTCAGATTACAGCGTCACTGTGGAGTAGGCCATTTTAGGAAATAATTTCAAAAAACCTGAAAATTTGTGTGGCAAGCTTTTCAGGCGTGCTGATTTCACTACATGACTTTTCATGAGTATTTCGAGCTTTCTTGATGGCGTATTCACATTTCTGACAAACTTTGGAAAAACAGTTTTCACCCTAAATCCGAAATAATTTATGAATGAAGCCTTATACTGAGTGTAAATTTCATATTTAGAGTCGGCCACTTCGATTAGGCAGTTTAGGAGTTTCTGGCTTTTTTGGCTTTCTTTCTGAGGCAAAATACCGGCAAAATATCGATTTTAATAGCTTAAAATCCTCCTCGAATTTCCTGCCGTAATCTTAAAGTGATGAAGAGCGATCGATCATCGCTTTGCACAGCAAATCTAAGTTGAATCTCGCTCTACAGAATGGCACCTCAAGCCCGGCAAAAGACATGAAGGCAGGAGAGTTATTAACGATCAAACAGTGTGCACATCTTTTTGGGACACCCTGTATAAAGCCCGTAAAGTATGTATACCCTGTTTGATCGTTAATATCTTTCCTCCCAACAAACCGTTTCCCTTGCTTCAGGTACCGTTTCGTAGAGCTGGCTTCAACTTAGATTTACAGTATAGAGCGAATCATCTATCGCTCTTCATTACTGCAGGATTACGGTACGAACTTCCAGCATATGAAACTAATGTGAAATATCCCACCTAACAAAATTTTCTTCCAAAATCTGAAAAATCGTGTACTAGAATTTTCGCACATGCTAATTCCAACTAACAACTTTCTACAAGTGTTTTCGGCTTTTTTGATGGAGTAATTAAATTTCTGACAAATGCTGGGAATTGAGTTACTACGACTAACCGGGGGATAACTTAGGAAAGAAGCATCACAATAAAATGAAAATTTCAAATTCGAGGGAAGGAGGAGAATTCCCAGGCAGAATATAGCCTCCAATGGCCTAAAATCTTTGTCGAGGTTCTTACCGCAATCCTACAGTAATGAAGAGCGAAAGATGATTCGCTAAATGCTGTAAATCTAAGTTGAAGCCAGCTCTACAAAACGCTAGCTGAAGCAAGGCAAAAGACTTGTTGGGGAGAAAGATATTAACGATCAAATGGTGTATACATACTTCACGGACACCCTGTATATATACTACTTCCTAGTGCTTTTTAACCTTCATTCTAAGAATCTGCGGACAGGTCCAGAAAACGTACAAATTTTTTCGCTATCTAATACGAACAATAAGTAAGGAAAATTTCTAGAGAGACGGAAAAAGCATGTTACAAGATTTTGTAATTGGACCTACCTTAAGTGGAAAAAGATTATTAAATGGGTTTTGATTCTAGTTGCTGTTTAGTAAGACCATTCGATCAAGTAATTCAAAGACGAAAAAGGTTTGAAGCGGTATAACACGTGCTGAAAACTAGAATTTTAGAAGGATAGAGTCATAATAAAGTCCAAGAACACCTTAAAAATTGACTAGCGAGATCTTGCATATGTTTGAAGAACACTATCGGAAGACATAAAGTATTAATAAGAACTAAAACATAACATATTTGATTATTGCGTCCCGTTAACCCCCTGATATACCTGTTCACAATGTCAAGATGTTTAGGATAAGTGCATTTCGATCTTGGACATGACAACGGAGCTCCAACATACTGTGTGGTCATGGTTGTTCAAAGCAACTGAGATGCTTCAAGATGTAGGGCACAAACTATGCCCCAGCCCATTCTTGGGAGACAAGAAAGGAACAAAGACAAAAAAGCAAATGGCTGCATGTGAAGAGTATCAAACCATGCTTAGTCTTTTCAATAAAGGGTATGTACTGCTTATACATGTACTTTAAAATGTTACGGACTCCAATTCAAGGATCCTCACCCTTGCCAGCGTGCACACGGCACGTCAGATATTCAGCGACAGCGCTGTAGCCTCAGAAAACGATGCGATGCTGCTAAGATTGTGCGATGAGAATAGCGGCTTCTTTTCTTTTGTCTTCGGCTTTGAAGAAGAGTAAAGTTTGAAATGAGAAAAAAGAGCGTTAAAACGGTGCTGTTTGATTTAGATCTACTAACGTGTTGCGAATAGGTTCGCTTTCTGCAGAACAGGTAAAGGATTTCAAGCAAGGGTTGCCGGAAGTTCTTATGGACGAGAGATTACCCTCCAAATATTCGAGTCTGGTCAAGATCGATGTAGATGAACAAGAGTCGACTAAACTGAATATTTCGCTGGCGAGGTAAATAAATTTTAGTTTTGGTGGTAGATGATGATGATGTTTATATCAGGAAACGACTGATATTCCATACCTATGAAACCTTGCGGATGGACAATAGCGTCCATGTGCACGATGATGAGACTGTCAGAGTCAATCCTCTCACTGGAGAAATGGTTGCGAGGATACCGCATCCTCCCACTAACTTCTTGACAGCTTCGGAAAGTTTGACTGGAGGAGGTATCACAACGTTCCTTCCCTCTGGCGATAACTCAAAACATAGTTTTCAAACCTGCCATCCTTTCAGAGTCAGCATTCGGAAACCTACCTGCATTCTTATCATTATTGCATCAGCAGGTTGCAGTGCCGGTCACTTCGTTTACGGGTGGTTTGAGAGGTGGATTTGATATTCGCACTCTGCTGCGTTCAATAACCATTCCCGAAGCAACTGAGTCAGTTGGGCTTTGCACCGCTAAGGGATTTCTTTAGATATGCACTTTTGTTCCTTAAAAGTTTCCCTTCTGGTGCATTTCAGAGAGTCTGAATCAGAAGGCGAAGAAGAATCTGAAGTTATGGCACCTCAAAGCGGACAAAGTTACACGAACGAAAACATGCCAGCAAGCGGGAAGTAGAAAAGCAAAGTGGATACCCTCAGAGCTGAAGTGCAATCCGATAGGGAATGGATCTCCTAGGCCGAGTTAATAAACGAATGCTCATTATTAGCACTTTCAAGGAAGGTCTTTCGGTTAGACTTGGACAAATAAAGATTTTGATAAGTGTCTGCTTCAAAGCGCTGAAAAAACACTGAAAAATTTGACTTCTTCAAGATCATCTTTTATATTAGGTCGTTCCGAAAGTAATGTCGCTTTTTTCGAATGAACGCCACTATTCGTGAAATCAACGTTTTCAAGAGATCTTAGAAGCATTCGATACAGCACTTCATCCTCTTTCTGATGGTTCTAATTTCGCTGCATAATGTTCAATAAGCTCTGGAAAAATTACCAAAATCTGCGACTCATGCTTTTTGCCATTGTCAAGTTCGGCTATTTTTCTAAATTTTTGTACCTATTCTTCGAAGATGTGCAAGTGACAGTTAGATAAAGCAAAACCTATAGGACACAGGATAATTTTTCCTTCTCCTTAGCCTGCTTCTCAGAGTTTCTGGAATCAATTTTTCAATGCTATCAAATTGCATATTTGGTCAACTTAAACCACACAGAACAACAACCGGCAAGCACCTCGGGTGTCATTCGACGCAGCTTTTTCTCCTCTTTCTACTAGTTGTTTTTTGTTTCCGATTCATCAAGTTTTCCGAGATAGAATCATCACAATTCAACTTTTCCAAGGCACCCCAAGGTGTACCCGAAATTTTCGAAAGCTGCTAAACCGAAGCGGTGAATGCTCGTTTGGTTTGTAAAATTGTTGCCAAACCATAATCCATCTTTGTAACTTTCAAAATCCGGAGACTTGCTGGCGTTTGATGCACTTTTGTCTGGGACGAGCCTGCTAAAATTCGGTGGTTCCATCAAAAAATCTATACAAAAATTATAACGAGCTCTGAAAAGTAGAAAAAAGTTGTGCTGTTTCCTTTAGGGTTTGCTCTATCCATCCATCACTTAAACTTCTTTTGATGTTCGTTATAAAATTTTAGAAAAATTGTGAAACTTGGCCATCTCAAATAGCATAGGTCGCAGATTTTGACTTTTTTCTGGAAGCTCATTAACCGTATTAGAACAACTTCATAACCTCTAGAAAGAGAATGAAATGCTGCATCAAATGCTACCAGAATCTCCTACACACCTTTGTTCCACGAGATGTGGCATACGTTTGAAAAAAGCGACATTACTTTTGGAACGACCTAATATAAAGCTGAATGTCTGTTTGTCTGTCTGTATGTCTGTCTGTACGTATGTTCCGAATAGAAAATTCCATTTCTGAATCGATCGGGATCAAACTTAGCACACATACACTTCGGGCCCCGGCGGGTGTCATAGACTACTTTTCGTCATCGATCGATATCGATTTTATCGATTTTTTGCAAAATTTGAGCTACGGGGCTGGGAGTTGGCACAGAGGGGTAATCGAGCATGCTGATCACCCCTGTGGAGGTGATCAGCATGCTCGATTTTCACCGGATCCACGATTACCTCGTAGTCCTAACGCTATGCAACAGAAGATATGACACTGAGATTTGAGAGACGTAATATATATTCAGGGATTGAGTTTTACGGTAAGCATCTGATAGAACTTTTCGCGCTTTACCCATGGGATACAATTATATCAACTACTCCTTATGTGGAAAAAATTGTGGGCCAAAACATCCCTGCGTCAAAGCATTTTCCAAATTTGCCTCTTTTGTACAAAACGATGAAGAATCTTTGCACCTTGAAGTAGCCATTGAAAATAGTTTGAAGGCACCGTCCACTCCAAATTTCGACCTTCATGTTTTTGCCGTTCCAGAGCCTTCTCATACCCCTGATTCCGAATATAAAGTCGGAAATCCGCGAACCCAACCCGCAGGGCGAATTCTTCGCAACGGTGAGTGGCTGGGTGCGCACTTATGGGCAGGACGAACGTCACGCCCATCCAAAGGGAGGAGCCAACGTGGCCAAGCTGTCATCCAAGCGATTTTCGAGGCAACTTTCTCGCATCAGAAGCAATTTTTACCAGCGCGAGTTGAAGAAGTATACGGTCGGGGGCCCACCAGGTTAGGCATCAAAATCTCATCAATCCCATTTTGAGTGGACGGTGCCTTCAAAAAGTCCGTCCATGTGATATTACTGTCTAGGGTGCTTTTCGGATATAACAGCACAGATTCGATATCAGATTCTTACGAGTCCGAATTCAAAAAGTCTCTCTGATTCATGATGCCGATCTAGGCAATTTTCGCATGGATTAGGCAAAGACATGCTAAGCAGTAGCACATAAGGTTCTAATGCTAGGTCGCATACAAGGCCAAGGTAAGAAGTTCATCTCCAAGCTCGCGAAGGGTGTTCTATCGAGGGACTACGCGCAGATAGAAAGGCTATCGTCGATTACCTGAGAAAGAGGTTCATGAGGAAATATAGCTTTGAAAAAGAAGCTACAGAGGAATGGTCAGATATCGAAATAGCTAATCCAAGCAAGCTGCATACCATTAAATGCAGCAAAAAACGCTGGCTTCGAATCTGTATTCCCTACCTGCTTAGCGCCTATGTGGGTGAAGTCATAAACCCTTTGAGGCCGTTATTTTGCTGACAAGGGAAGGACAAGCATTAGTCGGCGATTGAAGATGAGATGTATATTGATAGAACGCGGCTTTAAAGCTGGTTCCAAATCTGCTTTTCTTTTTTGCGAAATATGTTTCCGAAAGAGGTTATGAGAGTTTGAGTGCCCACATTTGTCAAAGTTTAGATGGCCCAAAATTGGCGAAGCTGCACAAAAACACCGGAAAGCGGAAAATTAGTTTTGTATCGGGTATATTGTTTGCAAGAAAGGAACAAAGCCGGTGGATCGCTAGGTACTGTTTTAGAGCTTTTCGTTTTTAAGCCATTCACTGCTTGGCAAATCTGGACATGCAACTTCTTTCGGAAACCTATCCCGCAAAAAAGGAAAGCAGACTTGGAATCAGCGTTCGAAGGCGCGTTCAATGATATACATTCCGTCTTTAATCGCCGACTAATGTTGGTAGCCTTCCCTCATAAGGGATTGTGCACGCAAAGCGCAAATTTGGCAAAACAGAGCTATGTTCGGGCTTAATGCTGGGCCAAAACATGCAGCTAAATTACATTACATTCTTAAACCCCAAAAGGTGAGCTGAAAGTGCAACTTGTGCCAATTTCGCAACTTTATGTGCGAGTCTCTTGCCATAAAAGTGCTCATAACTTCCCAAGAAGGCGTCAAGCAGATATGGATTACAGATCCGAAATCAGCGTTGAATGCTGCATCGAATGGTAAGCAGCTTGCTTAGATTGACTACTTCGACTGACCATTCTGTTAGATACTGAATCAAGAAAGGCGAAATTGAATTCACGAGAACCATCACTACTTTCATGGTTCATGATGAGATCGAAATACCCAGGATCAACTCGATAACTTATCTATCACCCAAAATTGGAATGCGAAGAGCAGTTGAACGCAGCAGGTAGTGGGAATGCAGAAGATAATCTAGCTGATAGGAGTCGGGCACCGAAATCCTGACGCTTCGTCCTTTATCGACCTGCCAAACTACTTCAGAAATCCTCATTCACCCCGAAACCACTTTCAATACTCACCAGGTTACTATGCTCTATCGTATACTCCATCCCGTATTGAACGGCTGCGTACCCCCCACGGGTAATCTTCTAGACCAAAAGGTCTAGAAGATTACCCGTCGCACCGCTATTACCACCAGCTAATCTGTTCCGTATCGTTTGTTTATTTGCTTTGCGTAGGAACATCAGATATGTGGCATGTCACTCTTCGCGTAAGCTCTTTCCCCTCTTAGAGCTATACTTGTAGTATTTCTCCGGAACCGATATCGACAACTAACAAGAGAAGGATAACTGGTAACCGTGGCCTTTCAAAATCTCTATATCAATAGAACTCAAAAATTGTCAGTTTGGAGATATGCGCGTTATGGAAACGCGCGCCGCTCAATCGAATCAGCTGAAACTTTGCACACATATGTTTTCGACCCGTGCACAGATGATAGGCTACTTTTTGAAGCGGTTTGTTGGGGCCCTCTATTGATTTATTGATTTTTAGCACTTTGCAATAAAAATGAATTCCTTTCATTTGCTACTAAACACTTTAGCGTAATCATAGGCGGGAGGGTTCATTCTCACTTCGCAGTAAAGGATGCGGTGGCACAAGGTGTAGTAGGTGAGCCTGCTTCAAGTTTGCCATGCACTATGCGTTGAGACAACGCCCGGGTAGGGATGAGAATGCCAGCTATTTAATATAAATCAGAATGCTCGTTTTCAAACACTGATTTCGAATCTTTGTTCGTTATCTGCGGAACGCGTTCCTGCGAATAGGTAGAGCTAGTGAAATCGCGCGCAAAAGTACTTACACCGACCGAAATCAAAGGGCATCCCTTGCAAATAATCACAGCGCTAACCGCTGGACCATTCGACACCTTTGGCTTTTATCTACATAACTCGTCTTCTGCAAACGAATCTGTTGTGGAGCTGTTCAACGTAATTGGAACTCGTTCACTATTGATAGATTAGGCTGAGGCGGCCTATGTGGCTGCGGCGTACCCGCCGCACATTGAGATATTTACGAGTTGTTATTGCATTGATCCTAGTGAACCCGCGGCACATACGCCGATGTGTATAGGGGGAATTTTTGTGTTTTTCTAATAAATCGTCAACGACTCAACGCGTTCCACTACAGAGTCAGTGCTGAGGAGATACGGTTTTTCTAGAAAATCGCTCCGCAGATAACAAACACATTCAAAGATAAGGTTTCAAGGCGAATGTCATGACATATCTCACATACCGAAAGTCACGGCCATCAAGTATCCTTTTCCTTTAAGTAGCTGTACAACAAAAATGATCCGCTACAGATCCCAGACGTAAAGGATTATCAAGACGTCATTAAGGTAATATATAATATCTTATTCTCGAAAATCTTACATTACAACTGAACGCCTTGCCTATTCGATAACAGAATTGCGACAGTGCACCAAATACTGAAGGCGTCGTAGAGTATCTG